CTCCCTCTGCCCCTCGGCGTCTGGGGTCTCGCTTTTTCATACATCCACGGCTCTGACACAGTCCGTAGTACAGAGCGGGATTCTCCAAAGACAGTTTTTAATGGTGCAACTGCTACAAGCTGGAATGGTAACCCGACAGCTCAGACAGGCTTCCTCCAAACTGCCCGGACAGAAGGAAACCAAAGAGGAGGCTAAAAAACCAGGTTAGAACATTGTAGGTTGAGGCCATCTGTGCATGAACCCCAGCAAAGGCAGTATCTGTTAGTCCCATGCCAAAATTAAGGTCTTCCCTCCAGCCAGAACAGCCACTGGGGCTTTATGCCTCTCAGGAGCATTGGCAGCCAGCTCCTGGCAAAGTGACAGTCAAATGCTACAGGTTTGCAGGAAAAGCCTTGCTATGAAGGCAAAAAGAATGATCCCCTGAATCTGGCTGCAGGTTAGGAGTTTCCTTTGTTGTAAGCCAAGGGGATCTGTGCAGGGAAACACGCGTAGATCCCAAGATGCTCAAAAAAGACACTATCACAACAGTTCTCCCTGAACCACCACTGACAGTCCCCACACCTCTGAACCCACCACCTTTGGCAGTGGGTGCAGACACCTTTCCACACTCTGATCTCCAGAGTCCTTCTGCTGGCAGGAGGCAGGGCACACCAGCACTGGGAGCAGTTCCTTCATCTGGGTCTCCTTGTAGAGCTCAGAGGATGACTGGAGGGAACCCCTGGCCCAAGTTGTCCTTCCCTCCACGGTTCTGGAATGGTACCACCCACGAGGGAGAGGAACAGCATCGCTTGTGCAGGCTCTCACCCATCATAGCTCCAGAGAAAGGCAATCAGGGCAGCTCGGGTGGTGGTCCCGGGAGCTGCTCACCACCGCTGCTGCTGCTGTAGGCAGCGAGGAGCAGGGTCCTCCACTGAGCAGGAGACAGCTAGGAATCGGAGAGGCACAGAGCCTCCACGGCACTGCTCAGGCCCTGGCTCACCCCGCCGACAGCCAGCAGGCAGTTCCGGACCACGATGCTGGAGCAGGCGCAGCGCGGGGTGGGCATGGGGGGCAGGCTCTCCCACTTGTTCTTCTCGGGGTGGAAAGCCTCTGCGGACTCCAGGACGGTCGGCTGATTTCCTGGAAGCACAAATTGAGGCATTGGGTCACCTGGGAAGCACCAGCAAGCATCCCTCATCTGCTCTGGGATGGTGTCTGTGCTCTGGACTGCATCCCTGGATGGGGTTTGTTTTCCCTGCTTCCTCAGGCCAGCCAGGGCTAGGATCTCTCCCCTCTCAGTTGATAAGGTGACTCACGTACGCTTCTGAAGTGCTACCATATCCCCCGTGCCTCACCTAGTCCCCCAGCCACGATGACTCTGCCTTTCAGGTAGCCAGCCACAAAGTCTGCTCGCCTTTTCTTCAGGTAGAAGGAGCGCTCCATCTTCATCCAGCCACCTGGAAAGGAGAGGACAGACTGGGCATTGCAAGAGCATCCACCCCTGTGAAAACATCTGCCTCTCCTGACTTCCTCCTTGCTGGGGAAAGGGCAGTTCTGCTGCTGCACCTTGGGGTAAGAAAACCCCATGACACAGGGCTCAGCTTCCTCACCACCAGGAAGCAGCTGTTGGACCCAGCTGCCTCAGGGCCATCATTTTCCCCTCTGCTGCCTTGTTAATCCTGACTGCCAGCCTTGCTCTAGGCTGGGCTTAAGGCACCAAGGACTAGGCAGATGAGAGCTCTGTGCTCTGCAAGGACAGCAAAGCCTCAAAGCCCAGCTTTGCGTATCACCTGCCCTGCTCCTCTAGGAAGGACAGAGCTGGGACAAGCTCCCACCTTGTTCCATGTCAAACATGTCCACGGTCCTCATGAACTTGGGCTGCCGGTAGAGCCGTCCCTGCCGCAGGCCTCCGAGGCTGAAGAGTTTGTCTTCCGTGGGCACGAAGCTGGAGAAGGCCCTTTTGTTGGGGATGTTGGGAAACCTGGTCCACGACCTGGTCTCTGTATCAAAGACCTCGAAGGCATTGACAGCGTACTTGGACTGCCTTCCACCTGGGGCAGGGAAGATGGAAAGATAAGGGTCAGCTCAGCTCATAGCGCCAAGCCAACAGCAGCAGGAACCAGAGGAGCTTTCTGGGGCAGGCTGAGAACGAGCTGCCAGCTGATACATTGTCCCCAGGTCTCAAGTCACCTGTACAAGAGCCCATCGAGACAAGTAACTTCTCACCCATGCGCTTCCTTTTCCTTTAACTGCAGGTTCATGTCATGAAAACACTTCATTTTTCAGTGCATCACGCCCTCCGCTTCCCTCCGCGTCGGGTCGCTGGCGCAGGAGGATGTTTAGTATGCGCCAGTTTAATCAAGACAAATTCACAGCAGAGCAGGGATCAGCGCTCAGGGAGCTTTTGCAATTCAGATGAGTTCAGCGCCAGTGCAATCCGGCGAGCCCCAGCCTCGCTGCCGAGCTCCTGACCGAGCAGGAGAGCCAGAGCAGCTGCTGCTACCACCGCCAAAGATGCGTATTATTCTCCCACCCATCAGATGCAGATGAATACAGCTATTCTCAGCTCAGACACTCGCTGTGCCTTTGAAGGCAGAACCTGTGCTCACTACTGGGCCCACAAACTGTTCGCCAGCAGCAAGCAAACTGCAAAATAGATCAAAGAGGCTTTTCCGGTAACCCCTAAAGAAAGCCAGGGCTGTCTGGCACTCCGAGCCCTCCTGCATTTTGATCCTGATATGCCATTTGGCCAGGAGCTAACAGCAACGTTTCTCTGCCTTAGTTTCCCCTTCTGTAAGGCAAAACTAATGGAAATGTTCCCCTGCAAAAGGCTTGGTCCAGCATTCCCCAGCCACAGCAGGTCTTTCCTCTGCCAAGAGCAGACCCTTGTGTGAAGCTGCACAGTACTTCGCTGATATAAAATGCATAGAAGTATTTTCACTCACTAGCTGAGGCCATAGGCTTTTAATGCAGTTGCAGGACCACAAAATGAGCAGGCAAAGACCAGCTGTACCCTCAGCTCCCAGCACAGAGCTGCTGTGGGACCTGTGAGCTCCCAGGGAGTTCAGGGGTGCTGGAGCTCTCGTGGGTGCTTGCTACAGAGCTGTGAATCCAGACCCAACACCAGCCCCACTCAAAACCTACAGCTGCAAGCTTGGTATTTCTGAACGTGTGAGAAAGCAAGGAGGGATGGAGAGGAGCATTCCCAAAAGCCTCTTCCAGGGAGGTTTCAGAGTGCTCAGATCAAAGGAGGTGCTGCCCGAGGAGGAGGAGGATGAGACACGTCTGCTTCTTACCCAGCACGTAGATCTTGGTGCCTCGAAGGAAGGATGTGGCAGCATACCTGGGTGTGGGCATGGCCGCCAGCGACACCCAGATGTCCTTGAGCATGTCGTAGTGCTGCAGGTAGTTGTGCGGCCGCAGGTCAGAGCCCATCCCACCAGCTGCATAGACTCTGTAGTCTGCACAGAGCAAGAAGCAAAAAAAAAAAAAATAAAAATCCCATAAAATTATCATAGGAAAGCACAGGAGCCAACATAAAACACTTAGGCTGCTTATTCCTCACCAAACCCATATCAGTTATATCCATCTCTGGCTAATGGCAAACTTGGATCTCCAAACCAAACTCCTACCGGCGCAGCACCCACTTTATCTCCTTCAACAAGCACTTCACTCCACAGACAAGATTCAGAGCCACGAGAGCAGCCTTGCCTTTGTGGGCAGCCCCACGAGGAAGCTGAAAAAGCAAAGACCAGCCCGCACGCCGCAAGAATTTGGGCAGCTATTTCCATTCCTGGCCCTAGCACCAAATTGACCTTGCTGTATCAGTCAGGCAAGCTTATACTCGGAGAGAAAAATCATCTCCAAGACAGTAAACATTATTTTTAAACATTCCTTGATGGTAGCTTTTAAACCCACTTAAGCAAACAAACCAGGCAGCTTTCAAAGAAGCTGCCTGGAGATTAGACTCATAATCCCAGGCACAGCGGGGAGCTGGCTGACCCCAGGCACACAGCTTGGGAACACAACTCCCAGCTCCAAGCTCTTCAAAGCACGCTAAAGGAAATCAATGCTCCACATCTCTGCTTAGAAGCTAAAAAATGAGATGGGCTGATAAGGTAGAGCCTGGCAGGCATTTAACAAGCCCTATTTACGGCAGTGGTTACACTTTCGGAGGTGAGCAACACAGGAGCCCTCCATGAGACCAGCGAATTCCCCTCTTTGTACAAGAATTTGAGCCCATGATGGTGAAGCCGACTCTCTCCTGGCTAGTTCTGGGTTTGGACCAGAGATGTCTCTTCAAACCAAACCTATTCTGTGGCTCTGAGACCTTCACCTCTGGCTCCGTGTCTCAGCCAGGTCTTCCCAGGCTGGCTGTGCTCACCATTCCTATTTTTTCCAGCACCTGCAGCACACAAGGACTTGAATTTGCTGCAAAATCCTGGAAAAGCTTGATATAAGACCCTGAAGCTTGGGCCTATCTGTAATATCCCCAGGTACCAGCAGAGCCCAGACCCCTCGTGGCTCCAGGGCTGATGATTCAGAGCAGCCCTGAGCTGATCTGCTCTCACCTACCTACAGAACAGTTGTCTGTAGTGGGTGGGATATGGCAAATACACAGGATTCAACTTCAAGAAGCATGGAAAAGGTTTGGAGAATAACATAACCCTGAGCCATGGCTCAGAAAGCTTTTGTGCCTGAGGCACCAACCGGTATTAACCTTCCCCCGTCTCCCCATCCCACAGGCATCCCTCCCTGCCCTGGAAGGACAGAACCCTCCTTACCTTTTGCAGTCACCGAGATGCCCATGGCTGCTTCTCTCAGCGAGCTCCTCTTCTTCCACTTGCCCTCGTCTATGTTGTACATCTCCACTATCTTCAGCGGCATCTGATTCACTCCGACTCCTCCTACGACCATGATCCTCTTGCCCAAGGTGGTCACGGCCACCCCAGCCCGGGCCGTGGGCATGGGGGGCAGCGAGGTCCACTGGTCGGCCTCGGGGGAGTAGACCTCGAAGCAGTCCATGGGGACACCATTGTCATCGCAGCCCCCGATGCCAAACCCCTGCCCGCCAGCTTCCACTAAAGTCGAGTAGACCCTGCGGCTCGGCAGTGGGGCGAGGGTTTTCCACTGGAAGTCTTTGGTGTTAGCAAGCTCCATGGTGGCTGGCGGGGCCAGGCAACATCGGTCCCTGCCCAGGGAAGGGGCTGGCTACACTGCAAAACAGAGCAGAGGAGTGCCAGGGAAAAAAAAATTAACAGAAAAACACAAAGTACAAACAGCATCGTCCCCCTGGGAGAGCTGGAGCCAGCCAGGAGCGGGGCAGGGACGGGAGCATCTTTGGTGTTAGCAAGCTCCATGGTGGCTGGCGGGGCCAGGCAACATCGGTCCCTGCCCAGGGAAGGGGCTGGCTACACTGCAAAACAGAGCAGAGGAGTGCCAGGGAAAAAAAAATTAACAGAAAAACACAAAGTACAAACAGCATCGTCCCCCTGGGAGAGCTGGAGCCAGCCAGGAGCGGGGCAGGGACGGGAGCATCCTCCCGCAGCCACCCGCACCTTTCATTGCGTCTCCATTAATCCTGCAGTTCCAGATCTGCCTCCGAAGCTCATGCAGAGGCCGATCCTAAAAATAAAACAAAACAAAAGAGGGGAAAAAAAATAAAAGGCAAGAGAGGTTGGAGTCAGTTTGTTATCCTGTTTCCTGAGCATCCCCGCCCCCAAGCGGCATTCAAACTGAGGAGGCTGCAAGCTCTCTGCTCACTTGCCCGGCTGTTTTTCCTGCCTGCTTGGGGAGCTTTTCCTTGCATCCTCTTTCTCTGACTCGATTCCTCCTCCTGCCCGCCACGTACATCCTCCTGCAGACCCTGGGGAGGACACGCTCCAGTAGCCCTTGGCTGGGAAAGGTGAAAACCAACATTTGCCCCTCCAGTCCTGACCCAGGAGCTGTAAGGGATCCAGAGAGGAGCCCAGGGAAGAGAGGAACAAGCTCTCACTGGAAACCCGCGGTCTTCTATTCATCTCCTGGCTTGGAATGGCTGTTAAGCATGCAGATGAGACTAATTAGTGCAGGCGGACAGAGTGAGGGCAAACAGAAGGGAACAAAGGCAGCAGCTCGCTTGCTCGCAGAGTGGAACGAGGTGCGATTTGCGCTGAGCATCTCCGCCTTCGTTGTGTAACTGGGGTTGTTTAACAATTGCCTTTAAACCAAAGATTTATCTTCACCCCTGCAGACACTGCAGCCTCTCCCAGCACATGCTGCCTGCACAAACTTTTGGAGACAGGACTCTAGGGTGGAGTGAGCAGTTGCCAAAAAATTCCAAAGAAGGCATACCGAGCACTGCTCTGGTCCAAGACTGTGTTGTTCCCTCTTCTCCCCATCCACAGATTCCTGAGTTTTCCCCATGGATGCTGAGGTCCCAGCTGAGCCCGGGGCAGCAGAGCAGGGCTGGCTGGCTCTGCTTTTCTGTGGACCACGGTTTGAAAAGTCGCCGGAGCTGAGGTTGGCTCCTGGACCCGCTTTCTTGCCTCCTGGCTAACACCCAGCCCAGGGCCAGTGCCTCAGCACATCTGCTGCTCGGGGTTATTTTTTGTTCTGATCCAGTAGTACAGACGTGGAGTGGAATGCAAAGAGCCAATATATTCTCTCCGATCTAAGATACACACAGATAAAGCAACTATCTGTTACGGCCGTTGGGTTTCTTAAGGGGACGGACTCCTTTCTCCCAAAAAGGAGAATCAGACTCATTTCCCTCTGCTTCATCTGGAGCGGAGAGTAAGCAAGTGGGCTCTGAAAAACTCCCCAACCCAGGAACAGGTCTTCTCCACCACCTTTGCCTGCTGCAGCACTTACTCCCCAGGTCTGACCACAGCCCTTCAGCTCTGCCAGCCCGAGCAGACAGAGCCTGTAGCTTAGCAACAGCCACCTACAGCGGCTTTTCATCACCTCTCACTTTGGCTGATCCCAGGGGGGATCCTCATGCTGTGGTCCCCAAAAGCATCAAGCAAAGACGATCTCCCTGGAAAGGGAGAAGCTCGGGGCTGCACGCAGGGCAGAGGCACACAGGCTGCTGCTACTGTACCCCAGACTCATCCTGCTTGTAGCACACTGGGGATGCCACGTATTTCCCCTCTAAATTCACCCCTGTTGTGCTCATGAGGTAGGCAGGGAGACAGAGGTGACCTTGGGACCACAGTCAGGACCAGGGCATTTGCTGATATCTCAGACAGGTACACGGCAGCATTCCCACAAAATCCCCATCCCTGCCTTGGGGCTCAGCCTGCAGAGCCCTTCTGAAGGGGACATCAGTTTCCATGGTCATCTTAGTTCCTGCATCTCCTCTGAAAGTGTGAATTAGTGGAGGGTGATGGAAAAACATCAGTGAAACAGGTCTCAGACAACTGGATCGAGATCCATCAAAATCACTTCACATACAAGTCTGAGCTGGCATGAAAACCAATCGATCCAAGCAGGACTGATGATTTTCACTTATTCTCCCAAATAAATTTCAGTAGTCAGCTCAGCATCACTTATGCATGAAGAATGTGCTTAATAAACCCATAAATACCCCTTTGGCTGTAAGCCTCCAGCAGCAGGACCCAGCACAGGCACTTGCACCCATCCCCAGCGCCGTGGGGGCCGCAGTACAAAGGGACACAAAGCAACAATGAGAAAGCAGCAGCAAGTCAAGCCACACTTTGCAGCTTCCCAGCAGCTGAGTAGAAAGAGGCAAAGAGCAGAGTAGATCCCCAGCTGCTGCTCTGCCCTCCCCTCAATCCCCCGTCGTCTGATGTGCATCACCAGCCGCAACTGGATCAGTTCTTGCCTTGACAGTTTAAGCAGCTCTGGACTATTGCTTTCATGAATAATTTATTTTCTTTCCAGGTGAATTTTCATGCATTACCGTGGACAAATTCAGCACGGGCCAGCAAATGAGAAAAGCAGAGCCAGTTCCTACTTCCAGGAGCATGACGGATTTGCATCCTGACCTCCAAGAAGTCATTTTCCTGCCCTATGCCTCAATTTCTTCAACTATAAAGTGCAGCCCTGGGATGAGACACAATCAGCATCACTCAAACGTCTGACAGGAGAACCTCATGGCTGCTGCCAGACAGTTTCTCTGCTGTCATTGAGGCTATTCAACACACGAGGATAATTGTCTAAAATTGCCTAAAAATTCTTTTTCAACATACCAGCACAGAGTGTGATCCAAAGCACTTGGAGTCAGCTGAGTATTTCTGCAGAGCACTGGGAGATCCTTCAGGAGAACAGGCAGAGCAAAGACCTGCAAATTCAGCCCAGCTGTGGTCCCAGAGAGCAGGAACCAGCAGGTCTAGAGAGCCACCACTTCAGCAGCAGTAAATGCAAAGCTCTGCCTGGATTCAGCTGCCTTGGCATACAAATAATGTGCTATATTTCTTTAAAGAGCATAAAAGATCAAGGTCAGCCTGAAACGCCATTTGTCTCCATCTCTCCAGCATCACCTGAATCTCCCTAGAATGCAACGCCAGCGCTGCGCCGAGCTGGGAGCTGTCAAAATGCGCTGACCAACCCCCCCTCTGCGCTGCAGTCACATTCCCCTCCCAGGCAGAGGGAATTATCACTTAATTACACCAAACAAATTGAAAGCATTAGCATTTTTTATTTTTTTTCTTTCCATAAATGGCTACATTAAAATCAAAATGAATGGTAATTGCTTTCCTATCAGACGAGATGGCAAGCACAGCGCTGAGCCCACTTCAGGTCCCAGCCCTCACCCTTGCAGGACAGAAAGCCCTGCTTGAATTGCTCATCAGGCAGCACAGCACCCACAAACCCTCCCCGCAGCACCCAGGTGAAATTCCCTCAGGTGAAGAGGGGCAGTATGTGGCCCAGCTGGAGCCAAAATCTGCCCCTGGCAGCTGTCAGGATGTTCTTGAGTGATGCACTACCCTAAATATTGCATTGCAAGGCTGCTGCATGAGCACAGAGTGAAACAGGGTCCCATTTACACCTCTCCCAATTGAAGGAAATGAAAAAAGGCCCCAGAAGATGAAACGCCACAGAGATACTCCCAAATCTTCTGGTTTTATTGCTCATGCTGAGGATATCCACTCTGAGACATCGCTGTACACACTCCCACACTCACACATACACACACGTTCCCTTCCAGGGAGGGACTCAGGGCTAGAAATGGAAAGGGATCCCTAATCCTCACTCAGCCCAAGGCAGATACAACTCACTACAAACTGATCCTGTACCACATTTGTCCAACTTGCTCTGAAAAGCCTCCAGCACTTCTGCAGCCCAGCAGCGGGTCGCTGCTGTGCCTCGCCGAGCATCACCCGCTCAAACCCGCGCCTGGGGAACAACGTTCATCTCAGGGACACCACAAAGATCCAGGAGACCCCCTGGCGTCTCACCACAAGATCACTTGAGCCGAATCCAGCTGACTGTCATCTTCATCGACTTTAGCAGCACGACCCCAGATTTTCATCAGGGAATTTGGGGACAGATCCAACCCAGGATGCCCGTCAAAGCCCCGTCAGGAGCCGTGCTCCCAGAACAGCCCTGCTCCCCACATCATCTGCCAAACACCCACGTGTTCCTCGCTGTCACCAGGAGCAGGTTAAAAAGGAGATGCAGACAGAGAAGCTTGTCACAGAAATCATTGCCTTCAGAGGAAAAGCTCTTGTACTCACCTAAATATCACGCCAGATGAGCACGGGGCAGCCCTGCCCCACACCAGCCAACACAAGGGTCTGCAAAGCTGAGCTGAGAACAGCCTGACATCCAGCCAGAGCAGTTGACGACTCCCAATGCTCTGGGGACAGTCGTCACTGGAGAGGCAGGAACAGGGGCAACAACATGCTGGAAATAGCACACACACAGGAGAAAAAAAAAAAAAAGAAGAAGGAGAAATCACAGTTCCTGTTCCTCAGCACCAGGCAGGAGCGAGCAGCTTCATTTCAGCTCTGTCTTGGCTGCCTGCACTCTATTAAATAAAGAGAGATGACACAGCACAGACTCGAGGAAGAGAGCTAAAAGGAGATGATTCAGTGCAGGGAACCCGTTTCTATCCCAAGGAACAGTCATGGTACAGGGCCAGGAGGGGGGACACGGAGCTGAGATCTCCAAGATCACTTGCTGCCAAGGAGGGGTGTCAGGCACTGCCCAGCTCT